AGGGGGTCAGACTAGAAGATCTCTTCGGTCCTTTCCAACTCTGATATTCCCTATTCTGAGCAGGGGGGCAGACTAGAAGACCTCCGAGATCCCCTCCAACTCCAGTAGCAAGGCAGAGATCCACACCCTCACCTCCCATTACCCACGCTTCGAAAGTCGGCATTCGCCCTGAAACTGCCTCCCTTCTCTCCTTCGCCAGGATTATGCCCGGGTTGAGCTTCAGCACCTGCAGCCAGCAACGCTTCCGAGAAATCTTCCAGAGCAACCAGGTGGGCTGCCTCCTGGACCAGCCTGAGCCGGCCCGTTTGGCGAAGTCCCGTTGCGGGAACCGCCTGGTAGAATCCGGAGAGGAGTGTGACTGCGGCCTCTTTTTGGTAAGAAAGACTGAAAAAAGCCACACAACCACTCCTTTTTTTCCCCCCCATACCTTGAGCACAAAGTCCAGAAACGGTTTCTGAGTAGCAACAAAAACGAATGGCATTCTTTTCTTTAACCGAAGCCATCGATTTAGTCAAATAATAATAATGATAATGATAATAGTAGTATTAGTAGTTGTGGTTGTAGTTGTTGTTTGTTTGCTGTTGCTGTTTCTGTTGCTATTGCTATTGCTATTGTACAAAAAACGACAGTGCACAAAGCAAACCAGATAACCATGCTGGGTTTCATATCCCAAATCACTAGTCGAACACTTCCCAAGCATTTAGGACCGCGTGATGTATCGGCGGATTATGCGAGCAGATCCCAGTAAGGTGGCCTTCTGCACCTTCCGCCAATGGTGATTTTGCCAGTGCCAATTGTTTTTAAGTGCTTGCCTAGGTATTATTATTATTATTATTATTATTATTATTCCCCTTTGGGGTGCGGTAGCCTAGAGGTTCAGCTCTCGCCTCCCAACCAGGAGGCTGTGAGTTTAATTCTAGGTGTAAGACAGATGTTTTTCTCAATGTGAATACATCTGCCAAACAAAACTCCACACTGGCGAAAGGAAGGGCATTCGGCCAGGAAACGCACTGCTAGCTCCATTCGGTTGTCCCCGACTGAACGGAGCAAGGGATTATGGGGTCGTTAAACAAATGATGATGATGCTTTTAAAGGGATAAATTTATAATGAACACATCATAGTGGTAGTTATCCTACAAGATTTAAGTGGATAAATTTGGAGGGGTGCAATGGCCTACAGGTGGAGCTCCGGCCTCACAATCAGGAGGCTGCGAATTCGATCCTAAGGTAGAGGGCAGATATTTCTCTCTCTCTGCACAGTGAGAATGTATCTGCCGAACAAAACTCCGTATCGGCAACAGGAAGGGCATCCGGCCAGTAAACACACAGCTCCATTCAGTTGCCCAGATTCCACCCCACAAGGGATTATGGGGTTGTTAAAAGAAGATTATTATTATGATTATTTCCCCCTTTCCATTTTCTCCTCCTTCTCCAGGAGTGCACGGATCCTTGTTGCAATGCAACCACCTGCCAATTGGTACCAGGAGCCCAGTGTGCCACCGGACAATCTTGCTGTCACCAGTGCAAGGTAAGGTATACCCCCTCCCCAAAATACAGAGGGAAACCCCTTCCTTTCGTCCTGAGCGCTCTTTCGATGCCAACCAGGATTTGGCCAGGAGCCCTTTTCGTTCCCCAATCCCGAAGAATCGTGGATTCTGTTCTTGTCCTCGATCCTCAATTGTCATTTGAAATTCCCGGCTCTTTGCTCCACATCGAGCGGCCCAATTTTTAGTCGTTTTATACAAAGTGTAAAATTCGAAGGAAGACGAAAATAGGGGGGGAAAGGGAAGGAGGAAAAAGGGAAGAGGAAAAAGAAAGTGTGGAGTTCCGACTTCATTTAGCACAGGAGAATAAGGTAATAACGCACAACTTCAATTTTTATTTTTTTTTACTTTTGAAAAATAATATATCCCAGCCGTTTCTACAACCTCAAACCGCTCTAATCAGCAAAACCCAAAATTAAAGCTCATAAGTCTCTAGCCGCATTTCTCAGAGTCAAAAAGATGGATTTATGATGAGTTGACATGTCGGCGTTACCTGGGTGCACCCACTCTGAGACACATAATTCACTGTCACCCTTTAAACTGGTCTTCCCCCACCCCCTGGGTGTATATCAGGGATGGGATTCTCCCAGTTCGCACCTATTCGCTAGAGCCAGTTGTTAACATTCTAAGCAGTTCAGAGAACTGGTTGTTAGAAGAAATTACTGGGCTAATCCTGTCAGGAAGGCAGGAAGGAAACATTCTGGGGTTGCTTACAGAAACTGCCTCTCCATTAACCCTTATTAACATTCTTGGCAGGACTAGACTTCCTGTCTCAGGAACTTCTCTGGAGTTTTTTTCCCCTCCTTTGCTGGTACTTTGCTTGTGTGGAGTGACCATTCAAAGTCACAATGGCACTGAAAAAAGTGACTTATGACCCTTTTTCACACTTACGACGGTTGCAGCATCCCCACAGTCATGAGAGGCCAGGAGAGGAGAGGCATGCCTCGATGTGAGTGATGTTGAGTTGGCCACGCCCAGCCAATCACATGACCACCAAGCCATGTCCACCCAGTCACGTGACCACCAAGCCACGCCCACCGCCTAAGCCACGTCCACGGTGGTTAAAAATTTGACTCCCACCCCTGATGTATATTCTCCAATGAGACGCATCCATAGCCAAGAGTCACCAATCTTGCTCTCCAGTAATAATCTTGCGTGCCAACAGTTTCGGCTACCTAGCATTTATCTGAACCATTTAAGGAATGCACTGCTTTCCCTCCCACTCCCTTTCTGCTGGCAACCAAAAAGACCAAAGGAGTGTTTTTAGTTGACAGCTGCTTGTAAATTTGGATGGTCACTAAACAAACCGTTGTAAGTCAGTGACTACCTGTATTGGTAATTTCCCCTCCCCTCTTTCTGTTCCCCCTTGTGTAGCTACGCAGCGCTGGGCACACTTGCCGTCCAATCCAGAATGAATGTGACCTCCCCGAATTCTGCGACGGGACCTCCCCACACTGCCCTTCGAACACCTACAAGCAGGATGGCACCCTATGTGAAGGCGGCAAGGCGGTGTGCCATGGGGGCATCTGCCCCACATACTTAAGTCAGTGCCAAGCCCGTTGGGGTCCCGGTAAGCTGAGGTTCGATTCCCTGGCATTGAATGCAGGCAGCCCCCAATGTACGACGGCAATTGGAAGCGGCATTTCCGTTTGCTAAGCAAAGCGTTGGTTGAGCGAGTCGCGGCTGATTTTTTAAAAAAAATTGGCGACCTTTTTCATCACGACGCTGAAGCAAATGGGGCAGTTCTTAAGTGAAAGACATGGTTGAGGTAGAAAAAAGCGGCCCAGGGACATTAAAATATGTCCATGTTTGATTATAAAACCGCTGCTAGAACTCCCCGTCTCCTGGTGATTGGCCCAAAACTGTCGCCAAATCAGTTTTCGTGCCTAAGTGGGACTAGAACTCCCAGTCTCCTGGTGATTGATCCAAAGTCACCCAATCAGCTTTCATGCCTAAGTTGGAACTAGAACTCCCAGTCTCCTAGTGATTGACCCAAAGTCACCCAGTCAGTTTTCATACCTAAGGTGGAACTAGAACTCACCATCCCCCTGGTGATTGGCCCAATGTCACCCAATCAGCGTTCCTGTCTAAGTTGGGACTAGAACTCACCCGCCCCCACTTTCTTAACCACTAGAACAAACTGGCTGTTTTGTTGGTTCTTCTATTTACCCCCATTAACTGATAACACTTTATCCTACCTTAGTTGATGTCTTACCCCCGTGAACTGCTCACCTGGTGAGCCCTGTCGCTGGATCACATTTATTGGCAGAAATGGCCTCTTTCTAAATTTTATTATTATTTTTTTTTCCCCAGACGCGGTTCCCGCGACAGAAGCCTGCGTGGCGTCTCTGAATCAGAGGGGAGATGCCCAGGGCAACTGTGGGCAGAATCCTGCTGGATCCTACGTCTCCTGCGCTAAGAGGCAAGTTCCGTCTTTCCTCCCCACAACTTCTGGGTTCTTTTTCACGGCGCACCGTGAAAGTTATTTTTTTTAAAAAAACAAAAACAAACCGTGGTTAAAATAGTCCCGTCTCTCCCCACACAGCGACGTCCGGTGTGGGCAGCTGCAGTGCAAGAAAACACGCAATGGAACACTTAGGACCCTCAACTGCCTGCGTGATGCTCTGAAGGTTGTCGTGGCGACCGACGTTGTCGAGGAAGCCGGGACGTTATCCGGGACAAATTGTGGTCCTCATAAAGTGAGTGAGCCTCAGGATGGACTTTTCTGGCCCAGATTTTAGGGGTGGGGGGAGGGGTCAGAGAGAATCGGGGGTGGGATTCTACCAGTTCGTTCAGCAAATCACACCGTCGTTAAACCAATCTGGCTCCCTTGCCCTCAGCGGTGATCTCATAGGATGCCGCCACCGTTGTAAACTTGTGCCGGGGTGCCAAGCCCCTGAATTTTGATCCTGTGACGGCCGCGGTCATCAGTGCAAGCTCATAACTTCACACAGTCGTTAAATAGACGGTCATCAGTGGAGAATGACCCACAGTTTTTGTTCCTAGGTTTGCATCGACCAGCGATGCCAGGAAGTTTCCTCCTTAAAATTACCCGTGTGCCAGTGCAACGGACATGGGGTAAGTCACATATATATTCCCCCCACCCACCCTCAAAATTTTCTCTTTCTCCAAAACTGGTTTTCCAACATCAGAAAACTCTCTTATCTTCTGCCTCCCTTCTCCTTCCGCCCCCTTTAGCAGCCTAGCGGTGGATCCCAGAAAGATTGGAGACCACTGGGAGATCCCACAGCCACCGGTTTACACACACACACACCCCTCCCCAACCGTGGGAGATTTTGTCCGTTCGTTTCCCCTCTTCTCCCGGCTCGACCCTCTTTTTTAAAACTTGTCCTTTTCAACCCGCAGCTTTGTAACAACAGAGGGCACTGCCATTGCGAGCCCGGGTGGGCGCCCCCTGGCTGCCAGGCGGGTGGCCTTGGGGGCAGTGTGGACAGTGGGCCCCCAGCCCCGGGGGAAGGTAAGTCGAGAGAACACGGGCGCAGGGCGTTTGCAATTATATCAACGCACGGATCCACTTATATACGAAGGATCGCGGGTTGCAAAGGCATGCACACCTGCGTGGCAAATATGCACAGGTGACAACCTTTTTGCGGCTTAGCAACCGGTGCCTGCCTGCATCAATTCCGCCTCAATTTCCCCCCACCCCACCCCCCCACCCCCAGTGTTCGTTCGTTTCCCATTGAAGGAGAGCTTTCCGCCGGCAGGCTGGGTCATTAGCGGGTCTTCCTGCCAAAGAGGATCGGCTGGGGTCTCATGTACGACGACCCCACCCCCCACCCCAATTCGCCCAGAAAGACTCAAAGCATCTTAAAAGGATTAAGGAGGGGAGAGGGGGGGGGCGATTGCAAGACCAGCCCCCAGCGCTGTGGTGGTCTGGAAGAAGAGACCTCACGGAAAGAAGACGCAATGGGAAGGGAAGAGGAGAAGAGAGATAGATAGATGATAGGTAGATAGGTAGGTAGGTAGATAGATAGATAGATAGATAGATAGATAGATAGATAGATAGATAG